ATTCAAATTATTTTTAAAGATATCAAACTTTAATTCAAACTTATTGATTTATAAAATAAATTAAAAACGGATATACTTTTTAGTTTTTCAAAAAGTGGCATAATGTTACCCTGGGTTAGTGTTTCTTTAAGCCATGTATACTTGTTGTGCTGTTTTGTTATATTTACTTACAAGTTACTTAGGTGAATACCTCCATAATGTTAAAACAAATACTTACTTAAAATTTACTTAAAGAAATACTTCTATATTGTTAAAACAATTGTCTTATTGGATATATTAAAGCAAAAGAAAAATAGAAATTATAAAGAAAACGTTGTATATTTTATTAATCTTTTTTTTGTTCTATTATAATAAAACAATAACTAAATTGGTGGGTAAGTAACTACTACATAAAAACATTTAATGTTTAAAAATAATTGTTTCAATCAGATTTAAAAGCCCGCAGCCTAGACTTATACCCAGCGGGCACGGGCAACCTAGACTTATATTGACTGTTAGACGCTGCACTAGAGATATCACAATTAACTTTTTTTCGTTTCTGGGGCGCTTCTAGGGCATTTTAGACTCGTACAACTTCTTATTCTTCTGAGTCAAGACAGATTCCTTTTCCTGGTGGAACATTTAGTTTCTTTTTGCGCTTTGATATAGAAGGTACAAGGTCTGCACGATTGTCATTTAATGGACTGGAAAATGCTTTAGAAATAAGGCTTAGATCAACAGATGATCGATCCTGCAGTGGCAAACGATCAATAAGAGGTTCTTTATTACAAGGATAAATTCCACACTTAGCAAAACATGAAATTAAATTTTCACTAGAAGTGTCTTTTATTAATTCCAGTGCTTTTTTTAGAAGTGGTGGAAAGCTTCCTATTGGAAGTATTGTAAATTTTTTACCTGCAGGTGATTCTTTCCACAGAGTCAAAACAGTTTCCACTTACTTTTTAGTGACCTAAAATATGCAACATCTAGAGGCTGTGTACAATGCGATGAGTTAGGTGGTAAACACGCAAATACAATGTTGTTTACTTAACATAATTTTAAAACATTCTGACTGATGTGTGATGATAAATTATGTTGTGTTATGATGTGTTATGATGTGTGATAAGTTATGTTGTGTTATGATGTGTGATAATAAACTATGTGTGATGATAAATTCTTATCCCCAATAAGATCTTTTTTTCCAGTCTGTTTTTTCAGTATAAGAAGCAGGAGAGCAGTAAACCACTCCTCAAATGTGACACTATCTAACCATCCGTGTTTGTGCGATTGTACCTAGTTCCATGGGGACCGTTTTCAGTCATAGTTGACCACAGATTTTCTGATTTGTAGACAAAATAAGGTGGTTTTGTACATCCAGCAGCGTTGCCACAAAACATGACTGAAATATTGGACTTTAATGAGTTCATTACTCTTTCAGGGTATTTACAGCCTCTACGACAAATAATTTTTTTGCGGCCTGGGTCATCACTTAAGTTTGTTTTATCATAGTTGTATATATTTTCTGCTGGCACCTTTGTAACAACTTAGCTGAGGTTTTCAATAAACTCGCTTAAGGTTTTTTCGTTAACAGCAGCCCGATAACGTTTTATATTAGCTGCCTACCTCAAAGTGAGCATAGGGTGTCTTTTTAAAAATAATTTACTCCATTCAAGTCCTGGAAAATTGTTTTTAAACTGTGGAATAGTTTTGTTTTGGGAAGAGAGATAATCCTTGACAATAAATCTAAAATTCAATTCATTAACAAGGAATCCAAACTCAGACAAGATGTGAGATACAAAAGAATCTTCTTCTAAAGCAGTAAATATTGTAGAATGTCCTGGTTTTTGATTGTGTTTTAGCTTTAGTTTACTTTGAATGGTCATTCTAGATATGCAGAAACGTTTAGATGTTACTCTCTGACTCATTCATTAATAGCATTAAAGTACTGTTGGAACTTTTCTTGAGAATAATCTACATATTTTCTGGAGCCTGGTAGCTGAAGTATAAATTAATCAATATATTTTACGAACAACAAAAATACTGTTTACAATATAATAAAACTACACAATACTATTTTTATGAATAGAAAATGCGAAGGAACCTTTTTGAAGGGCAACGAATATTGATTATTGTAAAGGGACAGTGCAAATAGTAAGTAAAAACTAATTCAAAGCAGAGACTAAAATAATTCAAAAACAGACAAACAACAACAAAAAAGTCATTAACATATAATATTATATATATATATATATATATATATATATATATATATATATATATATATATATATATATATATATATATATATATATATATATATATATATATATATATATATATATATATATATATATATATATATATATATATATATCATTAATATATAATACAATATGATATGTTAATAACTTTAATTTTATTAAATTTGTTATAATAATAATGATAATGATAAACTAAATAAAGAAATAAATCAATCACCCATCATATCACCAAAATAAATAAACAAATGTATATTAATTTAATATAAATAAAATGATTAGAGACAATAAATGATATGAGATTACTTTAAGTCTGGATTAAAGTAACCCCATTTTTACATAAAAACTAACTTAAATGTGATTAGGTATTTTTTACTTGAAACTAAATTAAAAAAATAACTAAAAAAATATTCAAATCTTTTAACTAAGGTGTTAGTCTAGCAAACTCAGAGATTTTATATCTCTGTAGTGTGTGCGATATTAACAAACCAAACAAAAGTTCTGCCAAGTCAATTTCACTGCAATTTGAGTTATTTTTTGACATCCATTTTAAAGTTAGATTATTTAGTGTGCAATATGGCTTTTAACAGTCTTAGTCGCATATAAATTAACCAATAGAAAAAAAATCCGGCACTTATATGACGTTTGAACAGGAGAAGCATGAAACTCAAACTCTCTGTAGTGGATTAAAGTAGGACCGCAAGGCATAAAGTAACCCCGTGCTACGGTATGTTTTTATATAATCTCTATAAAACTTCAAAAGTATTTTGTATTTTAAAGTATATTCGAAAAAAAATTAAAAAAAACTGCCAGTGGTAGAACTCGAACCATGGCTTACTTGTTCAGATGTTTGTTGGCATGTTATTAAACGAAAATTTCTAGAACTATGTAATAATGTTTATAACGGAAAGCTAAGCTGTAGATCAAAGTTAAGGAGAGCTTGACTCAATTTTCAAGGGAAATCAAATTATAAAACTTGATAAATATTTTATTGTGTTAACATTACAATTGAAGTTTACGTACGTTAGACATTTGCATGCACATTCGTTCATGCTTTCTTATAAAACAAAGTGCTGCAACTTTTACTCGCCACTACCTCAATTGTAATGGCTGCCAAGGGTTCTGTGTCAAACACGCTCAAATGAGCACTACTTCTAAACGGATTAAGTTCGGCAATAATATATAAGATTAAAAAAATTTTATAGTTAATAATAATATATTTCTTTTATATAATAAATATAATATTAGTATGAGTATATATACTATAATATAATTTCAACCATCAGCCATTTGTATTAGAATTCAAGGATTGTTTTAATTAAAATAAAATCTTAATTACCGATTCATTGTGGTTATAGTTACGAGTTAATATTCTTCTCAGTCAAGACAGATTCCTTTTCCTGGTGGAACATTTAGTATCTTTTTGCGCTTTGATATAGAAGGTACAAGGTCTGCATGATTGTCATTTAATGGCTAAATGTATCTTCTGTCATCATTGAGAAACCGTAGTGGATTAGAGCGGTTCGAGCACTCATTTCAGAACCAAGAGTTCTAAGATCCAATCCTAGTCTGCTTTTAGAAAGCAACATCGATAAGAAAGGTGTTGTGAACTTCCTTGTCAAATGCTTTTCCTCATTGCTTTGTGAAAAATTGGTATGACTTGTTGCTAAGTTACTACTTTATCTAGATAGCTCTCTTTCTGGATAAATTTTTTTTTTGTGGTTATAAATGCGCTCCTATTAATGCATTTTTGGTCAAATTTGTACAAACATTTTCTTAAATGTTTGTACAAATTTGAAAAAAAAAATACAAGTTTAAAAATAGAAAGTTAAATTCTGCTATTTGTTTCAGATACCGACTGTTATTTTGAGTAAGTAATCAAGTTAGGGGTCGTCTATAAGTTGCGTCATGCTGAAGGAGAGGGGAGGGAAGGGTTAGTGGCTTTGTGACGATTCACACGGAATTTGTTGCCAAAGAGTACTCGGTGTAATTAGGGCGATTTACAAAATATTTGGATACTTTTATTTGGAATTAGCATGGTTTGTCAGCATATTATGCCAAAACAAGATCTTTAAATGTTATAATTTTTTTTGCTTAAGGTTTTTATAATATTTGAAGAAACTTTTCTTTTTTATATATAATTTTAAAAATCTTTTTACAACCCGTAATAATGTATCTAAAGAACACTATTTTGGAGTATTTAGATCAATTTCGCTCATCGACATTAACATGATTTTAATTAAAATTGTTTTAAAAAGTTACTTAATTTACTACTGATCCTAGTTCTAATCGGTTCTGACGTATATTAACTATATATAGTTGTCAAAACACAATATTTCTATCAATTTTCACAAAAAATACTGGAATTCCGACCAAGAAAGAGCTTATAATTATAAATAATTGCCAATAAACGATCAGAACAGATCATATTGTTAAAATATATTGTTCATTTCACCTAAAAAACGTATCATTATAAAATCTTATTTAAATTTGGACGAGCGATTGTGATTTTAAGATGATTTAAAAAAAAAAAAAGATTCCACGGTCTGGGTTTTTTCGCTACAAACATTTATATTTTATGATACCGCGAAATTTATTATTCTTTAATTTTTTTCGTCTTTTCATAATTCACAGACCAGACTATTTCACGGAAATATTTTATTTTATAATTATCATTTTATTAAAACACCCTCTGTAAATATGTTTACAAGGTAAAAATACATTAAAATAGTTTAAGATATAAAAAAAAAAGAATTAAATAGATCACTTTGCAATGTTTTCTTCAAGAGTATTTTTGAAATATGTTCGCTGTTGCTTTGAATTCCAACATTCAACTGCCTGTACTAGAATTTGATAAGTACCTTCAGGGATTATATTTTCTGAAATTTCAATTTTCACTATTTTCTTATCCTGAATTAGGTTTTTCATATTAAGTTTATGGATCTTACATAACTCCTTTATGTCATCTAAAAATGAATACTTTACTGAACAATAATTAAGCTGAGAATTGATGATTTTAAAAGTTACTTTATTATTTAATAGACGAATAAATAGGTTTATTTTATTTTGTTGTATGTAACTTGATATCTCACGAACTTTAAATAGAGAGTTTATATAGTTTTTGCTATACTTGGAGACATTGAAAAATGACTTAACTGCATTTCTTCCAAGTTTATTAAGTCTTTGCATTGTTATCTTTCTATTTTCACATAGTTCCAGACCATACGTTAGCGTCGGAACTGCTAACGATGTATATAGTTGGATAATCGAAGATGGATTCACAAACCGGATACCAGATTGAATCAGAGTTTGCACTGTTGTTTGAAATTTTGATATCCTATTGTTAATATTTGTTCTATTGAGTGAGGCAAATAAAGATTTTTGTGTATCCCAAGTAAAGCCAAGTTGGTTAAGTTTTTCATTTGCAATTATTTGATGGTCGTCTATGGTTATCTTGTAACTAGTTAATTGTCTTTTTCCGGAAAGCAGTAAGTTATTGTAAGAACTACACGATGTAATCATCCTTTTAAGACCAGATAGAGTAGAGCTAAGAAGAATGATATCATCAGCATAAGCAACAACACCTGTAAAGTTTCCATGTATAGAGGTACCGACAACGTTATCATTTTTTATAATTTCGAGTAACTTTTCGGTGTATACGTTATACAGGTAAGGAGACAGAATCGATCCTTGTCTCACTCCTTGCTTAAGAGCAAATGAAACTGATTTGAAACCTAGGTAAAAGACAGTTGCACTACTGTTGAGGTATAAAGAGGATATAGTGTTAACTATTTGGTGAGGTAAGTTTTTATCAAAGTAAAGTTTATCAAAGAGAATGTTCCAGTTGCAGCTGTCAAAAGCTTTTTCAGCATCTAGCGAACATAAATAAATTGGCGAATTGTGGTTGTTGTAATGTTGAATTGTTTCACTTATAACAAATTCAGCATGCAAGGTCGAACTCTTATTGTTAAAACCAAATTGAAGGGGATGTGTTTTTTTTATCTCAGGACTGATGAGTAAGAAAAGGTATTCTAAAAGTTTTGTAAATATTGGAATAATACTGATACCTCGGTAGTTATTAGGGTCGGTAAGTGATTTTTTATACGATTTTACTAGCGTCATAATCAACAAAATATCATACAGACGCTATAATATTTTAAAAGTGCCTTAACTACACCGAGTAACGATGTTGTGGCGCGGAGGGGAGGGTGTTTAAAATGGTCAAAAATTGCGTGACGTAATTTGTGGACGACCTGTTATCCGTAACTGAAATAATTTTGTGTTTTTATTATAACGCAGTAAATCGTATTTTAAAGCTATTATTTCTATAAATTTTCTGGGAATACCTTTCTTTGGATGCCTAACAAAGTTGTATTATTTCTTTTTACATACTTTTGTCAAAAAAATAAAACAACTAAATTTATACGTTGTTAATATATATATATATATATATATATATATATATATATATATATATATATATATATATATATATATATATATGAATATATATATATATATATATATATATATATATATATATATATATATATATATATATATATATATATATATATATATATATATATATATATATATATGTATATATATATATATATACAGGGCCGGCGCGAGTAGGTGTCACGTAAGGGGGGGGTGCCATTACAACAAAAAGGTCCTCGTTTTCCAAAATTTGCCGACTGCCATTACGATATTTGCTGACTGTCTAACCTATATCGAAAGGGTCGACATTTGCCGGCTAACTAGTCTAAAAGGGTCCGATTTGCCGACTAAGGGTCCAGTTTACCGACTAAAAATCATTGATGTGGGGTGTCACACCCCCCTTACCTCCTATCGCGCCGGCCTTATATATATATATATATATATATATATATATATATATATATATATATATATATATATATATATATATATATATATATATATATATATATATATATATATATATATATATATATATATATATATATATATATATATATATATATATATATATATATATATATATATATGTATATATATATATATATATATATATATATATATATATATATGTATATATATATATATATATGTATATATATATATATATATATATATATATAATAAAATGTAAACATTTTGTTGCGTAACTTATGAAAACTCGGGTAGGACTTATTCTATGCCGGTACACATCTCAATCTGCATCGGTTAAAAAAAAAAATTACACGGTAATATATAAATGCGGTAGTTTCGGATTAAAAAATTTAATTGTTGCTTTCTCCTTGACAACAAATTTTGTTATATCACTTATTTTTTTTTTCCTATGACTAATTCCTTAGTATTTTATACTAATACTGCTTCTATGTCTAATTATGCAGTAGTTTATACTTAAATTTTATCAAAATTCTTTTTTTCAAAATTAGTATTTACGATTCATTTTTCTCTTGATATTTTGTTAGAAGCTATTAGTAAGATAATTATTTTAAGTTTTTTTAATGACTCATTATTAAGGTTTTAATAATCCTTAAAATTATTTGTTAAAAGTTAGTATCAACTATTATTCTACATTTTTAATTTAAAGGAAACTTCTAAAAAATAAAAGTTAACTTTTAGATTAAAAATCTTTAAACTTGAGTATACCAAAGTATAGCTAAATTTTAAACTTGATTTAAGTAATCAGGTAAAAAATTTTTATCACTAGAAAATAGTAACAGCTGATAGCAGATACTTTTTAAAAGCTAATATCATTATTTGTATCTTATTGAATCTTATAATTTAAAATAACAAAATATTTTATATTAAATTATATAAATTAATTTAATATTAAACAACAAATGATATTAGACAACAATGTATTGTTATATTTACATTTTATAGTTGTATTTATATTCTGTTTCAACCTAATCTGCAATATATTTCTTTAATATTTTATGTTTATGTTACAATATATTGTGTAAAAGTAAAAAAAAAGTGTTTGTGTAGTGAGTAAAAATTTATTAATATACATATTTACATACTAGTTAAAAAAGATTTTTAAAGACTGCTCTCAATAATTTGTTTGTAGCCATTATTTTCTGCGTAAGATCTATATCTGGTTAGTGCGTATTTTTTTGTGAGTATGTCACATTAACTCAATTTATTTTCAGTTTATATATTGTTAGGTGTATTTAGATGAAAGCTAAAAGTAATTTTTTAAGCAAAAAAAAAATTGTTTTAGAATTTAATTATTTTATAAAAAATAATTAAATTCCATTAAAAATTTTTTAGCGCAGGAATAAATATTTCAAAACATGGGACGCATCTTTCGCAAGATCAGACTTTTAGTTTGGAAGAATTTTGTTTTACAGGTAATTTAAAATTTAATGTACATACATTTTGTGTTTGTAAAAATTTATTTGTTTGTAGCATTATTTTTTTTTTCTTTTTTATTTGTATATTATCTATTTTCATTTTAGAGTATTTCATTACAGAATAAAATCTCTATAGTCTAACTTTTACACTAACAAATCTAATTAATACCAGAATCAAGTTTGTTGCATATTATATACTCTAACTTTACGGTTTTTGTAAATTTTGTAGCAGTATAGGTAGAACTCTATATCTCGCTGATGATACTACCATTTATTCTTGTCACCATAAGAAGCCAACTCCCTCTGATTGCTTGCAGGGGGCATCTGAGCTTGAAAAGGATCTCACTTCTGCTACAGCATGGTACTCACAGTGAACTTTAATTCAGATAAAACTCAATTTTTTTCAGCCAATCGTTATCACAATAATTTAGACCTTCCTTTATTTATGAACGGTAATGTACTCGATGAGCCTCCTACCCTTCATCTTCTAGGATTAACTCTTCTGATCTTTCTTGGAAACCTTATATCAAATCCGTTGCAAAATTAGCATCTGCTAAAGTTGCTTCTCTTTATCGAGCTCGTCACTTTCTTACTCTGGATTCTATTCTCTATGTCTATAAATCTCAAATACTAAGAGGATGTATGGTATACTGTTGCCATATCTGGAGCGGATCTTCTAATGGTGCCCTTTCTCTTTTAGACAAGGTTTTAAAAATGCATTGTAAACATAGTTAGACCTGCTCTTGCAGCCAACCTTCAACCTCTGTCACATCGTCGTAATGTTGCTTCTCTTTCTCTTTTCTACAAATACTATAATTGGCACTGCTCTAAAGAGCTAGCGTCTCTTGTGCCATCTACTAAAATTCATTCTCGTGTTACTCGTCATTCAATTAAGTCTCATCCTTTTTCTGTTACTGTTCCTAAGTGCTCTAAAAACTCTTATTCATCTAGTTTTTTTCCTTGAACATCAGTTCTTTGGAATTCGCTTCCTTCATCTTGCTTTCCTGGTTCATATAATTTGCAATCTTTTAAGTTGTCTGTCAAACGTTATCTTGTTCTACAATCTTCATCTTTTCTCTTCCATTAACTTCCAACACTAATTAGTGGTTGCTTGAAGCCTTGTTGGAAGCGAAGATGTTAAAAAAAAAAAAAAAATCTCATATTATTTTGCAGTAGCTTTGGTTTCTTTCTTCAAAGCATGACTGAAATAAATGCATTTTTCTGTCATTAATTTTTATATACCATATACAAAACAAATTTTTGAAGAACCAGCATCCTAAACTTGATCAAACAAGATGGGACGTTAGAATTTTGTTAAATAAAAACTTAAAGACCTTGTTAACATGAGAGAAGACTGATCGGGTAATAGTGTTAGGGTTTGAAGTGTTTTCTAGAGTTTTTTTCAATTGGATACCTTAGATGGCATTTTTCCAGCAAGCAAGAATAGAAGATTTAGTCAAGCACCTAAATAGTTTAGAGAGAATCGAAGAGAGTAATGGAGAACACTTTTGTCTATGGCAAAATTATTGTCTAAACCACAAGTGGAAAAGTTTAATTGAAAAATGACTTAACCAATGGAAACCAGAGTGATTTAAGATATTAAATATATCTAAAATTGGGTTAACCTGTTCATCTTGAATGACTGGAAGAGTATGGTCATTAAGTTTAAAGTTATGCCTTTTCCTTGGGAGAGGTAATGAAATCAGACCTATGAATTAAATAAAAACTGAAATACAAAGGTTAGATGACTCATCAAGTACATAACCATTCATAAATAGGGAAGATCTAGATTATTGCTATAACGATAAGCTGAAAAAAAGAGTTTTCTCTGAGTTAAAGTTCACTAGCCACTGAGAACCCTATAACAGAAGTGAGATTTTTTTCAAATGCCTCATCCAAGCAATCAGAGGTTGTTGGTTTCTTAACAAGACAAAAATAAATGGTAGTATCATCAGCAAACAATGCTTACTTAGATATAAGAATTTCTTATATCTAAGTAATTTCGGAAATTCGTATATGTTTTTACTTTTATTTTCATAAAAATTAAACTAGCAATCTCCAATTTACTCTCATTTAATTCTAATCAATATAAATATTTTGTAAACAAAAAATAGTAAGCATTAGTAATGTTAACAAAGAATAAATAAAGTTTGAAATGGAATCACGCACGGAACAGAAAAACTTCTATTTTAGTTACTAGATAAATAAACTTTAATTCCTCGGATAATATAAGTTTCACTGGTATACTTTTTTTTAAAAATAATATTTTAGACATTAGTAAAGATTTCCAGAAAGTTACAGGATTGCACTAAAATCATAGAGTCACAGCAATCATTTAAATGCAGTTTATGAATGATCACGCATGTCACGCACGGATGTTGCGAATTTGTCAATTTCATGTAGTTGTTTTTATGAAAATAAATTGCTTGTGAGTATTTCAAGTGAAATATTATACTTCTACGACTCTAATTTAATATATTTTCGATGAGAAATGGCAGTCATCAGTTATTTCTAGCTTGAGTATTGCGTTTTGAAAGTTATTGTATATTTTTTAAAATTTAGCAATATTATTACTCAAAAAAATAAAATTGTAAAAATGTGTATATTTAATTTATTCAGATAGCCTAAAATATGATAAAAATATTTTAGTTATAATTGTTCTTTAAGAAAATCAAAATAGTATGCATATTGCATAAAGTCACAGCTTTTAATTGCTAAAACAAAGAAAAATAAAAAATCACGCACAGAAATGGAAATGCCCTTAAAGATTTCACCTGATACACAGTAAAAAAAAAAGCTTATGGAGAAGACCAGCATGTCAAATTTTATTGAAAGCTTTAGAAATGCTGAGTCATAGCCTTAACTTCTCCACCTCTATTTAATGCAGAATAAAACCTATCAGTTATACCGTTAACCAGTCCAAGGATTCGCTCAGAAAGTTCTAAGCGGCGCTCAATTTGTTGTTCAGCAGCTTTTTATGAACGGACGCCCACAAATCTGCTTATAAAATTCCTTGAGCGCTCACAAATTTGCTCATAAAAAAGTTTCAATAACTTTCCCAATATTCGCTCTTTAAATTCAGAAAACTAACTATTTTAAAAAATGAAAGTGAAACAACCCTAAACGTTAACTGCAGTATTAAAAATTAAGAAGTTTTTCTGGCTGGTTACATACATGTGTTGTTTTAAATATAAAGTTAAATATTTGACCGCTAGATGGCGCATTTCAACATGGAGTTAACTCCATGTTAACTAGTGTAATATTTTGCCGCTAGAAGGCGCAGAATGAACGTAATTTTTGAGCGCTATCAAAAAAGCGCTCGTTCGCGCTTAGGTTCATCTAAATTTGACGCCGCTCAGAAGTTTTGAGCGCCGCTCATGAGCAAGTTCAATTTTAGCAGCACTCATCCTAGGTCTTTTGTTAACAAATCAGCAGTGAAACAAGGAGATTAAAATCCATATTGATGACAAGAAAGTAAATTATTAGATTTAAAATGAGAGATTAAAAGTTTGTTAATTAAAGACTTAAAAACCTTGCTTGTAATATGAAGAAAACTAATAGTACAATAGTTAGATGAGTCAGATTGCTCTCCAAAGTTTTTGAAATATAAAAGATGCCGTTTTCCAGCAGCCTGGAAAACAAGACTCTGACAAACACTTGTGGAATAGTTTTGAAAATATAGATTGTAAGAGGTACTATACTAAAGGGATTCTGCTCTAGAAAGCAAGTTTAAAAGTTGACTATTTGAGTTAGAGATTGAGAAATGTAAAAGTTGTAGGGCTTAACACCTGCAGAGTCACTGACACTAGAGCCTAGCCATTCAGAGTGATGAGCATTAAAGTCACCAACAACAACAATATTGACTGAAAGATAAAGAGAAACGGTCAAAAGATAAAAGATTTACAGAGATTGCATAGTTATAACCACCAAAGAAGAACAATGAAAAACTGAACACAAGCTATGTTCAGAGACATGATACAAGTCAAGGTATGAAAGCAAATGATTAGTTGTGTCTGTAAAATGAGTCACAAAGTTACTATTATCTCTGTATATAATTAAGAAATTCAGAACTTAATAGCTTAAGTTCCATTAAAGTTAGTGTTGTTAGAGCCAAAACATTTATGAATACTTGTACAGGCTTGGACAGGAATGGCATGCGATTGCATGCTGTAACTGACCACGCTTACAATTTTTTCTTTACAATTTGATCATGACTGTTATAATGTTTTAACAATTTGAATGCAATAAATTAAAAAATTTTTTCGTTATAAATAACTTTTATATGTTGATCTTTTCTAATGTTTTTATTTTACACGGTTTTAAATAACATAAAAAAATTAATTATAACAAATATTTAAAATAAATGCGTTTTGTGTAAATTAACAAAAAAATATTACATACAAATTTTTTTTAAATCTTATAAAAGAATATTCTTTACAGTTACTTCAACATGAATAAGTTAAATTAAATCTTCACATTAAAACATAATTTCTTATGTTAAAAAAATAACATTGTTTATATAAAAAAAAAGATAAAGTTGATCTTGAGTTTTTTTTTTTTGCAGCATTTTTCATTAAACTTGGTGTTTTTTTTTTTATTTTTGATTAAACTTAAAGCTCTGTGTGGAAACGCTTATGATCATTTTTTGTTTTGTTTATGAGTAAAGTTTAGCATTGTGTAGTTTATGGATGATCCCTAATCAGACCATGAAATGATTAAAAATTACTATTTTAAAAAGACTACGTTATTTTTGTAATTAAGTTTTTTTTGCATTTTTTTGGAAAAAAAGTAAATGTTAAAAATAATATATATTTTATATTTAATATATATACACTTTTTAATAATTTAAATAAAAAATTGTTCATTCATTAAACAATAATTAGAAGTAATTTGTAAAAACTTTTTGTGTACTTAAATAAAACGATTCAAAAGATAAGTTGTAAATTAAGTAATTTCTAACGAAATTAAAAACATAAAATGTAACTTTTGATTCTAGTTTGAGTTTTTTGAGTTTTATTTTAGTGCTTATATATTTTCTTTTTTGGAAACAATTGTTTTTTTCTTCGTTTTTTTTTTTTTAATTTTTTTTCTAATTTAAGTTTAGCATAGCATTTCTTTTTTCAGCGCATTTCTAAAATCATTTATAAAACATTAAAGTTTGAATTGAGTTTTGTCTTTCTAACATAAACCTGTTGCTATTTTTAAAAATAGTAAATACTTTTAGATTAGACGACCGATTGGTACAGCAGTTGAAATATTATTACCAGTTGCATTTATAGCCTTACTTATACTTGCCAGGTATTTTTTTAAGTAATTTTTTGTTTTTATATATCTATTATTTATTTTTATTGGTACTTAATAATAAAAAATTCTTTTATTTACATAATTTTTTTAAAGTTTTTTATATAAATTTTTTTCATTTTATGTATATATATATATATATATATATATATATATATATATATATATATATATATATATATACACACACACACATATATATATATATATATATATATATATATATCAGGGTGGCCCTTAAAACAGCTTTTTTGAGAAAAACCTGCTCCCACCCCCTAAATGTGTTCTAATACAAAAACACTAGGTTTAAAATTTTTTTGAATAAAAAATATTTTTAGAGGCCCCTCAAGACCCTTGAATATTTAATGGGTCCTTAATATTTTCAAAAAAAATTTGTCAACCTGGTACTCAAATGAAGCAAACTTATATAAAAATTTCAAAAATTATATTCATTTTGGAAAAAATTGTTATTTTTGGTTTTATTACTTAAAAAATTACCTTTTTTTTAACAAAAAAATAAAAAAAAACATTTTTTATGTTTTTTTATGATAATTTATTAAATAAGTTAAAATTATCAATAAGTTAAAATAACAATAAAACATTACTGCAAAGTTGTTTTGACAATATAAATACAATATTTTAGATTAACACAAGTTAATCTAAAACTGTTTTATGCAGATTATAATGTTAATAACATAGAACAGGTTTAAAATAAAACAAAGTAAATAAATAGAACTGTTTAAATTAATAAATTAAAATATTATTGTCATAAAACTTTAAATTTCATATTTGCACAAAAACTTGCTATATATACAGCGCCGTACTATCGCAAGTGCAACAAGTGCAATCGCACTGGGCCCCCTATTAAATACATTAGAAAAACTTCTCCAATACCATAAATTACTACGAATTATAAGAAATTTTTTTTTTTTGAGTTTCTGCACAGGGCCCCCAAAAGTTACAGCACGGCACTGTATATATATAACTAATGACCTAACAAGTAAGACCAAAGCAAAAAAACATTAGATACCATATTTTTTCTAATTTATTGCTTTTTAATCTAGCGTAGATAGGTAGGGTGCAGTAAGGCAAGTTAAGCATTTTTACTGATTCAAACAAATCTCATGAGTAGTGTGTCAGATTTACATGACTTTTTCAAAATTTGAAATATAATTTAATCTGCAAAGAAATTGTTAAAAAAAAGTATAGTTTTTGTTTTTTTTGAGAAAAAGATTTTTTTGAGCCCAAGGTTTGTGGAGCTGCTCAAGCTGCCCCAGCGGGGTAGGTTGAGCAATAGTGTGGGTTAAACTAAGCAATCAACAAATAAATAATTATGCATGATTTTCACTAACAGTAAGCATCTGAATAATTTATTAACATTTTACACATTTAATGACGTAATAGAAGCGAAAAAATTTAATAGTAAGAAAGTGTCAAAAAATATAAATATATTATTTTATACAACTATCTTGAACTTTGAAGCCCAATTTGAAAATTATTAGTTCTAAAAATATATAATTAATATTGCACTAAATTATTTTTTACCAAAGTTGAGTTTTGTTATTTTTTGAATTCTTATTTAATTTAAGTTTTATTTAATTTTTTCAAAGCTGCTCAATTTACCCCTACTAGACAAGGTTACACATTAGTTAGGTTTTAAAAAGAGCATGAAGTCCCATAAATTATTAAAATATCAACACTCAACTGATGGCAGATAAAAAAAATTTGTAAGTATACAAGAGAAATATAGCAACAAAAAAAAATTTTCTGCTTTTTGGACTGAAATAGAAAAAAGGCCTGTGTATCTTATCAACTGCTTTCCAGCAATTATTTGTTGCACATTTTGTTGACATTATAATTCTCTAACTTTCATCCATCAGATGTTTTGTCATATGGTGTTTATGTGATGTTTTAATTGCCCTACCCTACTAATAAAAATTTAAGTATAATTAACTTTTTCATTCAAATGGTTTTTAAGTTGATGTTTTCATTTAATTTTTTCATTTAAAAATAAAGTGAGAAAAAAAAGTTGGTTTAATAAATCAAACTATATTTTTTTAAGTATATGCTTAAATCAATTTTTTGGAAAAAAATTTCTTAAATAGAAGTAAAATAATTGTTTTTAATTTAATTTGGGTTTTATGTTTGCAATAATCACTGGTTTAATGTTTGCAATAAAAAGCTTCTAATTTTAAAGAAATAAAAAATAATTAACTGGAAAACCAATAATAGTTAATTATAATAATTAAATAATTTTCAACTAAAAACTAAAAAAAATTCAAAATATTTACGATTTAAATTTAATATATTGAAAATTAATTTTTAAAAAATAAAAAATAAGTATAACTTAAATTATTAAATTAAAAATTAAAAAAATTAAAATTTTATTTCTTCCTTGCACTATGTTCGAAATCTAGTATTGTTACTGTAGTTAGATCTAAGTTTAACTTTCAGGAAAACTCTTCACTATGCTACTGGGTTAAAAAAAGGAGGAGGAAGTGGAGCTTGTTGCTTTATTCTACAATCCAAAAGTTCAATTTACAGTTTTCAAAAAAAAAAGTTTCAGGAATTAGGTTTTTTAAAATACCCAAGACCACTGCTCGTCATAATAAGTGGGCAAAAATAGTTTCTCAATTTAGAAGAAAAGGTGGTACTGATAATTTCGTTATAAAGGACATGACTCTTAGTATGTGAGCATCATTTTAAAAATGAAGACATTCAATTTTTATCTAATTTTGGAAGAAAAACTTTTTTTGAATTTAAAAAACAAGTTGATGTACAAATATGATGTTCGTCAAAAAAATGAAAATTTATTGAAAACTTTGATATTGAAAAATATTAGAAATGTTTTGAAAAGTGAAGACAATTTTAAAACTAACAATAAAGAAATGTTAATTGATTTTGAAAAAAGTTGCAGATGTTGTGTTGAAATACAAATTAAAATTGATCTACTAGAAAAAGAAAAAATGTTTATATTGACTTGAAATCTCAAATGAATATTTTAGAATCTAAAAATAAAGAAATAAATATTAACTGAATCAATATAAAAGTAAATGTATACTAAGTTATAAAAATATCTCAACAGACAAAAAAATATTCCAAAAATACACTGGCATTGAACATGAACAGTATTTTAATTTGTACAACTTTTTAAATCCAGAAAAAAATTGTGAAAGTATTAAATACCACAACTCAGAATTATCTGAAAATATACACAGGTTAGGTAATCAGACAAAAGCTGGTCCAAAAACAAAGTTAAACACAGAAAATCAGTTATTTATGTTTTTAGTGTGGCTAAAAAAATCAGTTTTTTCACACACATCTTCGTTATTTATAATTTCAAAATCAACAACTCGTTATTAATAACATGGACAAACTTTTTTTATTTTTTTTGGAAAGTGTACCTATTTGGCCTTCATGCGAACAAGTTAATAAGTTTATGCCAAAAAACTTCAACATTTCCATCAACAAGATGCATTATTGATTGTACTGAACTGTTTTGTAAAAAATCTTTAGCACTGAGACACCAGAGTTCTTTATTCTCTAGTTATAAACATCATATAACTTACAAAGTATTGTTAGGTATTTCTCCTTCAGGAGCAATAACTTTCATAAGTCAACTTTACGATGGATTGATTTTTGACAAAAAATTGTTGTAAGATTGGGTTTCCTTAATAAAGAACTATGGAACAAAAATGATTCAGTTATGGCAATTGTGGGTTTACCATTTCAGACCATTTAAACACAATCAATTTTAAGTTAAATATACCATCTTTTTTAAATGGACAACTATAGCTAAGTAAAGTAGATACTACAGAAAGTCAAACAACGTAGCATCATTGAGCCTTCATATACAACTCTTTTCTTAGGGTTATAGTTTTTTGCCAAATAAGTAATAAAATTTCTTTGGTGTTTCACGGTTTCACAAACATTTATTTAAATATATAAAGGGTAGTATTTTCTTTGTTATTAACATTATTGTCTAATATTTGTGGTATAAAAATAGTTAAGGTAAAAATCATTTAACTTAAATGATTTTTATGTTAACTATTATGTAAAAAGAACTCATTGTCGAAAAGTGTTCTTATAATAGGGATTCCTTTAAATGTATACACATTTTTTAACTTTTACACCATGTTAAAGTTTGATTTGCAGATTTCAAATAGGTGAGCTATTTGAATTTCTATTTATTTCTAAAACAATTGGTATTTCAGTTGAATAATTTTGTAAATCTACTATAACATCTTCTACTTGAAAATTTATATATTAAACAATTGTTTCGATATTTACGTTTTATCAACAAAAGACGGAATGCAATGAATAACTTTAAAAAACTGCAAACAAATGCTTTAAATCAAAGTTAAGGAGATTTTGCTGCTATTTTTAATGCAGTTTTTATATAAAAATAAAACTTTATAATAGTAAAAATATCTATTGAACTTTAAAAATGTTTTATTTTTTGTTTTGAAAAATTGAAAAAGATAAAAAAAAAAAAAAAGAGAAAAAGCAAGAATTCGGACCATGGCAATCCACTTCAAATTGCCACAACCTAACCACTTCAGCCACCAAGGCGTATTATTTGATAAAAGTTTTAAAAGTATTTAATAAACAGAAGACTTTATAAAATGGTAAATAAATGCTATAAATCAAAATTAAGGAAATCTTGCTGCAAATCAATTTTTAAGAAAAATTAAAACTTGATATACAAGCCTATGCAGGAAACATATGCAGTTTTTCGTCTTGTAATGTCCATGCATGACTAATTTATTTTAGATCACTGCTGATTGCAAATTTTATTATATTGATCATTGCAAAGTTTCTAAAACAAAAGCAAAACTACCACAATAGGAAATAAAAGGAAATTTAAATATAAAAAAATAAAAATAAATTATTAATTTAAATAATTTGTGTACTGTTTTTATTTTTTTTAGAGTGAAAAAAAAAAAAAAGTTTAAACTTAACATTAAAGGGATCCCAAACTCCCGACACATGTTGTG